TAGGTGGGCCTATGCCATTTACAATATGTGGCCCATCCTCTTGCACTTCTTGTAAATTGACACCATGATGTGCATCACTCACACTAACAATAAAATTATCTAGGAATTCGGCATTATTTGTTTCAACTATGCAATCAAATGAGATGATCAATAGAATCTAAATCCATTTGATCGTTAGAATACCCTACAAAGAAACAAATCCTATTTTCATGTCAAGATTTCATGTCAAGATTTCTTTATTGAGGGTTATAAAACTTAGCTTATTTCTGTAGGGCAATCCGACACACTCATGTATCTTAAGTTCCATTTTCTTCTCGTCCAAATTTCATAAGGTGTTTTAGAGGTAAATCTAGAAAGAAGTCTTAGATAATCACGGAGAGGGTGAGTGACGAGATTGGTAGTTAGAAATCTAGAAAGTTATACATGTTTGTTCCTATTTGTGTAGTTTAGGTAAGTTTTAGTACGTCCTATTTAGGACAATCACTATTACTATTATAATGACTCTCGAAACACAAATGGGAAAAATACTCTAATATTACTAAAACTCATGAGTTTTCTAAGAATATGACCATATATGTTTTTAATCTTATGTATGACCAAATGGAACATCACATACATGGCCGGCTGGAATGATGAAAATAAATAACCAATAATGACCTTATGCATATACGAACTAATTCCTTATTTTTAGGAACAATAATTAATGCAGCCTAATGTATGCTTTGATTTCTCTTCATCGTAAATAAGGATATGCTGCAAAAGAAAGTAATTATTTGAAAAGCAATGACCGATAGTTTAGGTAATAAAAAAATGGGCATGGCAATGAATAACATAGGCAGTAAAAACCTTTCAAAAAACATAGGCAGTAAAATAATGAAATATTTAATAATAAATGTTGACGTGTGAGCATAGGCACTAAATAGAGGACAATAAAGAAATGAGCATTAACATAAGACAGTGAATAACATAGGCAGTAAAAACCTTTCAAAAAAACATAGGCAGTAAAATAATGAAATATTTAGTAATAAATGTTGACGTGTGAGCATAGGCACTAAATAGAGGACAATAAAGAAATGGGCATTAACATAAGACAGTGAATAACATAGGTAGTAAAATCCTTTTAAAAAAACCTAGGCAGTAAATAACACGAACAGTAAAATAATGAATTATTTTATACGTTAGTAAATATTTGCATTCTATATATGATCCATAAATGAAATAGACAGTAAATATAAAAATATAAGTAATTGTTTAAGAGGGTAGTAAATGTGTATGAGGGCAGTATTGTTTGTAGTATCACTAGTATGTATAATAATAATAATAATAATAATAATAATAATAATAATAATAATAATAATAATAATAATAATAATAATATTTAATACTACGTACTTCGTACCTTTTTTTAAATGACCAGAAATACATTTAACACTACATAATAAACATGTGTCATAAATAAATATAATACTTAATAATTACGGAGTACGAGCCATGCAGTTACCAATCTTACCATATTTCTAGGACTGCTATATATAATGATAAGCCAAGCAGTTACTATATTATTATTACTTTATTAGGATTCCTATTTAATAAAAAGGATAGCCGTGCCATATCATGTCCGACTAATTAGGAATACTAAAAAAGTAAACTATTTCCATCTTAATCATGTTAGGAGGGCAACCGTGGAATTAAAAACATAAAGAAAAAGTAATTAATCATGCACGTATTATAGTGGGAAATAAACTCATAGAGTCATACATTGAGAAATGAGATATGTTTTAGTCATAGGAGAGATAATATTCTCAACACAAATTTTCATAATTATAAGCTACTCAACTAAGAGTTTATTTTGTAATCCACCATTATGGTCAAAATGCTAAATTTTTAATTAGGCTGAGTGATTAAAAACTAGTTGAACGTAATAAACTATAGAAAGAACCATGCCATACACATCCAACCAGTTCTATTAATTTGATCCAATAGCCAAATTAAAGTTTACCAACAACACACATTTTTTAAAGTTAGCATCATTGTATGATAACGTCCGGGAAATTGCCCAATATAAGAGTAAACATAAACATAATTGCACAAATAGAAGTAAAACTTAAAACTTCCTTCAATAGGATTTAACATTAATTTTGTACCCTTAATATCCCTAAATTAGGTAATTCTAAAATATGACTTATTTGATCCTATTAAAATAAATTAAAAAATCTAAGTTCATTCATTAAAAACGATACATTTATGCAGGCCTTTTAATTTTAAAAATAATCTAAGTTTATCCCAACAATATTAAATATTAAAAATTAAAAAATTTATTTTTTTAAAATAAAAAACTTTAAAAATAAATAAAAAATACATAAAATGCATTAAAAAATATATAAAAAAGTTATGCAGGCCTTTCCCGCAGCCTCGGTCATCACCCATCAATGTCACCTCCGATCGGCGAAAAAATGTCATTTTATGTAAAAACTGTCAATTTTCTTTGAAAATGTCATAAAGATGACAGATTTACTCTTTGAAAATACCCAATTTCCTCAAAAGCTGCCATCATGATGGCATTTCAAGAAAATGTTGGCATTTGTTTCGGTGGTCGGAGGTGGTGGTGTTGGGAGGTTGTTGAGGCGGCAGCAGACGCCTACATATTTTTATACGGAGTATATTTTTTACATTTTCCTTTTTTTTCATTTTAAATTTTTTTTTTATTTTAATAATATTTTATTTTATTTAATACGGAGTATATTTTATTTGATATTTTTTTGTGTTTTTTTTGTTCTTTTACAATTTTATTATAAATCAACTAATCTTATTTCTTTTATGCAGTACTATCTCCGTTCTTTTTTTATTAGTCCTCTTAGGGTTTGACACGGGTTTTAATAATAAAGTAGTAGGGTAAGTATAAAGTGTATAGGGTAAATGATAAAGTAGGAAAGATGGTATATTAAAAAGAGTAAAGTGATGATAAAGTAGGAAAGAGAGTGTATTAAGAAGAGTAAGTGATGGTAAAGTAGGAAAGAGAGAACTGGCCAAATGACATCCTATATAAAGATTTATTTGATCGTTTTACGTAAGTTTGAGGACCTATTTGACATTTTTCCAAAATCTTATAATGACATTTTTTTATTATATGATCATATCATACTACATATCATGTTATTCATTCATGAGTTTTGCTTCCTGTACACACCAGCTTAAACACTCAAGTGTAATTGTCCGTACATAGAAAATTACGCTTAATAAGTTTTAGTAAAATGAAATGTTTGTGACTAAAAATTGAATTATGTATGCACACATACTTCGGAATCTCAAACACTTCACCTTACTAAATCGGATGTATACACAAAGCAAAGGAAAATGCGTGGTGTACACAAAAATGTGTACACTTTTTGTACATTCGTCGACTCTGTGGACAGACATTGTACATTCTGTCTGCGTGAGAGAGACGAATGTATATGAAGTGTACACATTTTTGTATGGAGAAATTTGTTGATTTAGTCCCGTAACTTATAGCTATACCCGATGTTGGTCCTGTAACTTTATTAACTTGTAGATTACATCCCGTAACTAATAAGTTGGTGCAATTTTGGTCCTTCTTTGCCGAAACTTACCAATTTCGCCGGAAAAAGTCACATCACCTGCCACATGGTATATTATTTGGAACTCGATCATTTGCTGAGTCAATGTTGACCCTTAGCTGGAGTTAAAAATTATTTCTTCTTGGTTGCAGCAGGAGCATTTTGAATAAAGTTTAAAGCTTTCTGAATTCATGTTTTAAGAATAAATTATAAAGCATTTGACAGAGTCTCCAACTCTTCTTAAAACTTCAGACCACATATATTACTCATAAACATAAACTTGAAAGTAAATAACATTGTCAATTATTCAAAATAAAAGATGTAAATTCCTGACAATTTAGGGAAAGCTTACAACTAACAATAACAATGTCTTACTGCACCTTCATAATGTGGTACTAATTAATAACCTAAACTACCTAACACTCATGAAATGTTACATCATCTTCACTTCTCACATCTTTAACATGAGAAAGACCAGGAGCAAAAACACTAGCCCCACAACAACTATGAGGAGCCTTTTATTTTTAGCGTTCAACTTTACAACCTCTTCCTCTTTTGAATTGAGTCTTCTAACCAATCCCGGAATTATCATCGTTCAACGATGGCACATAGGTGGGTCCGCCCATTCAAAAAATCTGCAACCTTTTGTCTGTATCAAAACAAGATGAAGCTTAACTTACTTTTTACTGCTTTGAACACAAAAATGCATTATCAAATGCCCCCAACAAATAGAAGATGGTAATTTTATTAGCAGAACCTAGCTTAAAATTTAAATACATTTTAATTTTCAAACAAATTTATTATTCAAATGCTATTCTTAAATTTCTAGTTTATTTAGTAAAAAAAGAAGCAAACAAAGTAAATTAAAAAGCTGAACTTCTTACTGTGTTTCTAGCGCACACACGAAACCTCCTTCCAGGATTGTTATCAGTCCAAGAAGTTAGAAGAGAAACCTTTTTACCACAATCACACTCCATAAACTCTTGTCTGATCGAGAGCCGTTACTAGCAGATTTGAAGAATAACTCACTCTCTCGACTTAGTTTAGGAGAAATCTCCAGGTAAGGTTATGTGTTCTTTCCCCCTTTTGCAGATCCGATAATAGGCTTGGTATGGTTGTGCACGCACTCAGCGAAGAGCTTTCACACTCTGGTTTTTTAACTCCAGCTAAGGGCCAATATTGAGTCAGCAAATGAGTTCCAAATAATATACCATGTGGCAGCAGGTGATGTGTCTTTTTCCGATGAAATTGGTAAGTTCCGGTAAAGAAGGACCAAAATTGCACCAACTTATTAGTTACGGGATGTAAATTGCAAGTTAATAAAGTTACAGGACCAATATCGGGTATAGCTATAAGTTACGGGACTGAATCAACAAATTTCCCTTTTTGTATGCTACACGCCCAAATCAGTAAGGTAATCCACCTGTCTAACTGTCAAAGGGACAAGCGCAATATGATTGTTTCTCGTTCGAACAGAGTATAACTGCTATTTTTACTTCTATTTCTTTCTAAAACTTTCTGCTCTTGGAAAGAATAAAAAAGCTTTATTTGCAAATCCATTATTACTGTCACATGCAAGATCCGTTCAATTCAAAGTCGATGATGAACCAGCCGCTCTCGTTCTCATCCGCATTGAAGCCGTCGCACCACCGGAGAGCTCACTCTGAGGTGAGCTTCCGGTTGCCAGAGGATCTGGATCTGGCTTCGGACCCGTTTGATGGTGCTCCAGCCGGAAGCTTTGAGGAGATGGGATCCGAGGAGGATTTCTTCTCCACCTACATGGACATGGAAAAGCTAGGCGGCGGATCCAGCGCCGCTGATGCCTCCCCTGCTGCCGGACCTACAGACGGTAAGGGCGATGGAGAGAAGACCTTCGAGCGGCCTCGGCATCGGTATAGCAACTCCATGGATAGCTCGAGCTTGATGCTTAGCGAGAGTACAATTGAAGCTAAAAAAGCTATGGCCCCTGATAAATTGGCTGAACTCTGGACTGTTGATCCCAAACGAGCTAAACGGTAGCATCCATACACAGTTCACTTCCTTCATTTCTTTCATACTACATTTCTGTTTTGAAATTAAAGTCAACACTGTCGTAAATCTGGATAGGGTTCTAGTGTATGATTTGCTCCAGAAAGTTGCACTAGATTCGCCCTGAAAGGACCTCTCTTTCGATCTTTTTGGTTCTGTAGAGTTCGATCGAGTCAAATTATGACTACAGCCTTCAATGACTTTGACCTTACTTCGACAGCCTTCAGACCGATCTTTCTTCTTTTTAGATGTTCCCTTTATTAATTCTTTGTTTAACTGAACATCACAAAACATTTGTTGGATGAAAACCGACATTCTATTAGGTTGAAATGAATGAGTTACATACAGCTCATTACCAATAATATTGCCTTATGGTTCTGTGAAGAAGAACTCGACTAGTTTGATCTCTCCAATTTGAATTACTATTCTGTAATTTGAAGTTAAAATGCAAGAATGTCCAGGGTTTTAAAATGCGGACTGTAAAGCCCGGTGTGGCCGCAATATTGGGGTTGCAGGAGGCAACATAATCGCATCAGGCCGCAATGGCGGTGTTTTTTTAATTCACGGCCAAACGTAACTGCAAGACAACCACGGCGTAATTGCATCGAGTTGCATCATGACCGCAACACTAATTTAATTTGTTTCATATTTTATTCGAACATTAAATTAATACACACCGCATCGGCCGCATTACGCATCACAGTAGCCGCAACCGCAAATGCAATTTTAAACAATGAGAATATCTATTAAAATATTACATATTTAGTGTTCATTTATGACTCACTTTTGTAATTATGTTATAATGTTATACAGAGTAATTAATAATTACATTGTGATTGCCTTCCATATTGTATGACTCATGTCCCATATAAAGTATAAACCCCATCTCACTATGTTATGATCACTAGAATGACCTATTACATAGTAGAAGTTTTATAAAATATAGGAACCGGTGGGCGTAGCTCAACTGGTAGCGAGTGAGTGCCACAAGGGTTAGGTCTCGGGTTCGAATCCCGACAACTGCGATGAGGGGTTACTACGCTGAAAAATGCATAGGGCTTCAGCAAGTACCGGGGACAGAGCCCCACTCTCTATCTGTCAGATTGTGATTATAGTCCAATTTACATCCTCTCATCGTGCCGTCCGGTCGGTGTTGGGGGCCATGGTGTGTCATCCTTTTTTTTATTTATAAAATATAGGTGGAAAAGTTTCCTTATTTAAATCTATGATTGTTGATAACTGTGGACAGAATTCTGGCAAATAGACAATCAGCTGCTCGGTCAAAAGAGAGGAAGGCACGTTATATATCTGAACTCGAGAGAAAAGTGCAGACTCTTCAAACAGAAGCGACTACACTTTCTGCACAGCTTACTCTGTTCCAGGTTTGATGCAATATATACATTGATTTGCAGAAAAAATTTGCAACTTTAGGCAATATATACATGGATTTCTGCACAGCAACTTTTGGGAAAATAACTTGCTGTGGGTATTATTGCTGAGCTATTAATGATTTCCTGGAGAATGTTTTCTTGGAAAATAAGTTGTGTCATGTATGAATAATGCGCTGTTTGACCCACAAAAATAGAAAACTTTAAATTACTTCGGGCAAACGACTTCCTGTTTTCACCACAAAATAAATATTTTTCTGGTGCTAAATTCAGGAAAATATTTACTAGTTTCCTGTGAAAAGCAATAACACCTGTCGGGAAATATTTTCCTGGAAGCAATCGAAGCCTTCAATCATTCATTCAGTGAATGACAAATGGCTACAAGTGACGGAAAAACATGATTTAAATAATGGAAAACCCAATATTTAAAAATTGTATCTAGAATGACCAGAAAGGTGCAAACAAGACAATGGCCCAAGACAAGTCCTAGTAAAGGATGGTTTAACGTTTGAAGAATGGATATGCTTACTTTTCTGGCCAGAACACCAGAAAAAAGGACAGCAACTTTCAGTCCTAGAATACAACCTTATTTCCAGCAACAAATAATGTGTAAAAGACATTATCTCCCCTGTTCATGCTGTAGTTGATTGACTTCAAAATTCACAATGTTGTGTCCTCCTTACCAATCTCTACTGACTCTAATTTCTTTCACAGAGGGATACTACAGGGCTCAGTAATGAAAATACGGAGCTTAAACTTCGTTTGCAAGCCATGGAACAGCAAGCTCAATTACGTGATGGTATGTGTCTAGAAGAACCTGGCTTCTCACTTCGTTCATACAACCAGGCCAAAAGAAAAGGAAAAATATCCTTTCTTTAGGGGTCTGCTTGGAACCCGGCAAATACTAGGAAAAATATGAGGAAAGTGAAGTGCGAGTAAACTGTAAGGAAAGAAATTTTGGATAAAAATAATGAATAAGCTAAAATTAAATGAATTTATTTTAGATATTTTTTTAAACTCTACTTATTTATTTATCGGTTCATATACTCCGTATTTATTTTTGACATTTAAAGTTCTAAGAAAATTAACTTCCCGTACCATTTTTTCCCCTCTAGCATTTTTTGTGACCCAAACATACCATAGGGGGTCTGTTTGGAACTCAGAGATGAATAGGGAAAGAAAATGTAAATGAAATATGGACGAAAAGAAAATGAGGGAGAAAGTTAAAGATGAGTTCCCACACAATAAACTATTTCAGATGTTTGTTCAAACCCCATGTTATTTATTTGTTTCTATCGTAGAAAGAATAAGATATCTAAATTCATGTGAAAATTTGTAATAAAAAAATCATAGAAGGAAATAAGTCTCCGTAGCAACCACTTTACCTAGCATTTTATGTGACCCAAACATACCTTAGAGGGTGATGGGAAAAACTACTTATTACTATTGCGCTGATCTCAGCAATATTTATTTCTGAAAATGCAGCTCTGAATGAAGCGCTAAAGAATGAAGTTGAAAGGCTCAGAATAGCTACAGGAGAAATATCAGCCTCTCCTTCTGATGCTTACACCTTGGGAATGCAGCATAACATTCCTTATAATAACCAATCTGCTTTTTTCTCACACCAGCTCAGCTCAAGTGACTCCCAAAACATACATATCCCACAGTTTCATCCCCTCCAGCCAAACACATCTACCCCACACAATCACCACATGCTCTCTTCTGCATCCTTACAGGCGCTCACAGACGCACTTCAGCAGCAGGATCCTCTTGGGCGTTTTCAGGGTCTTGATATAAGCAGCAGCAGAGGGTCCCATCTTGTGAAGAGCGAAGCTCCTTCACTATCAGCCGGTGAAAGCAGCTGTTCTTGAAATAAAGTCCTATTTTGTCAAAAAATGTTAATAGACTGACACCATTTTTAACATCCTTGAATATCATTATTCTTAAATTTTTTTCCTCCATTCAACTTGAGTTCTAGGTTCGGTTATGTGCAGCTCAAAAGTGTCTGGATATTCTTTGATGTGCTGCCTATGGGAGGTGAGGTCATCTCCAATAGGCAACACATTCAAGTTTCAACTGTCCTAGGTTTTATTATCTGCAGCTCAAAAGTCTGGATATTCTTTGATGTGTTGCCTATTTGAGGTGAGGACTCTTGTGAAAGACAATCTATTCCATTGTCTTGCATATGGATTTTGACTTGTGATAGTGTATTTTTTTGTTTTGTTTTCATTTCATTATTAAAAAAGGACTCACTTCAACGGTGAGACTTGACGGTACTACCTACGGTTGAACACCATTCTGATCCGGAACTGGAGTGGTTATATATAAGGTTCTATTTTGGAACAGGGACTGCCTTTACAAGGACAGTGCATATCCTGACTGATGTCCTAAGAGCCAGGCACAGGACCGTGTTTTTTAAGGGTTCAATCCGATTCAATCAAATAGAGGTGAAAATGATGGTTTCGGAAGATTCAGAACTAGAATTGGTCGAAACCATATTGCTCATTGTCTTACTTGTCCTTACCATGAACACACCCCTCCATGCTTAAGGGTATATTTCAATCCCTGAAAATACTGGGGAAATGAAAGAAATTATCAAAGTTGTTTCCTAATATTTGTATTTATGGTGGAGAATGCAGAGGATATTGTAATATGACAAAAATGTATTTATGTAATTATGTTGGTCATGACTCATGAGTGAATCAAAATGTATTGTGACGAATATTAAATAAAACTACTGAGTTTGAACTGATAATTTACTATCCCGGCCAACATTTCCATTTCTTAAATTTCCTCATTTATTTTCCTCAAAATGCGCACTAGCTGTATTCTCTTCTTTTTGTCAATGTTCAGAACTTGTTTGAATTCATCTGTTTATTTAAAAACTTACCATTAGTTCTAACTAAATTTCCCAAACTATACCACTGTCTCACTTTTCTCATATGCTGACACTGTGACACACATCTAAAAAGTTAATGGAAGAACATGGATGTAATCATATGAGCTGTGATAGGTATCATAGGATTACAGAGTCTGGTAAGCCCTAACAAACTGTGTGAAATTAAAATGGTAAAAGGTGTGTGATTGAGGCAAGTGTGGAAGAGAGAGAAATGAATAGAACTATAAATTTATTGCTTTAAGAAGAAAGTGCCAATTTTTTTTGGGACAAATGAAAAAGGAAAGTGGGCAAAGTACAGTGGGACGGAGGGAGTATGAAATAAATTTAATGAGAAAGAAAACCGAGGTAAATATAGATAGTTTGACAAAGTGAGTACGATCTAAAAAAAGCTCATGCTGAAATTCTGAATTTATCCCCTCTCCCTATATGTTTTTGGCTCTAACGACAGTAGTACTAGATTTCATGTCACACCGTTATTAAAAAAAAATAACACATAATCATTGTGGATTTGAAGTACTGGTCGGACAGCTAACTGGAAGGATATTTATTAAGATTTAAGCCTTTAAGCTGATGGAGTAATTAGGTGGGAGATAGATGTGTACCAAGTGGTCAGTTGGTTCTCAACAAATGTCTAATAAGGCAAAAAAAAAAAAACTTTGACGTCCGTGTGAACATGAGGTACTTTTCATTATTCTAACATAATGCACCCACGTCTACGAATATTAATGTCACCTACAATTCCTAGCCTGCTCAAGTGAAGTAGAATGCTTGGATCTTAGTCTTGCACGTTCTTAATCAATTTAAAGAATTCCCTTTTCTGGGTGTTAACATCTTTTGAAGTTAGTTGTTGAGAGCTTTGTTTCAATAGCCATTGGTATTAGCATTATATTGCAGCCAGTGGAGCATTTATAGAGGAGAATGGAGATATCGCAAAAAACTTCGAATTCATTTTGGGCTAGTTTGGATTAGGTAGTACTCCGTATAATTATCACTCGTCCCTGATTAGTTGTGTCACCTAGATGCAACTGAGACGGAACTAGCTAGGCAAAAAACGCATGAGGTAAAATTTCTCATATAGAAGTAATTTTTTGTGCATAAAATATAAGACTATGTTTGGTATGATGTAATACAATGCAATGAAAGAGAGTATGTAATGCAATACAAAATGTAATGGAATGGAACTAATATTCCATTACTATGTTTGGTTAGCAACGACAGCACACCCAAGAAGAAGAAAATGTGCAAATTTGAATGGAAAAAGTTCATATGCAGGGAAAGGGAGATGCTAGCAAAGGAAACACAAGAAAATGTAATTTCAAATACATAACTTTTTTAATGTAATGCTTATTACATATATCAAAGTAATAGATTCTACGTACGTAATGCCATAATTAACCAAATTCTTTGTCTTTATGTCTACTTTTTAAAACTATGTTTAAATTTATATGGATGAATTCTTATTCGGCCCACCCCAGTTTTTGTTTACTTAATATGGCCATTTGATTTAAAAGAACTTCCTCATCGCGTCAAATACTAACTAATCTAGTGTCTTTCCAACTCATGCAAAGTGATTAGAATTTGAGAGAGTATCTATTTTTATTTATTTATTACAAAGTTCCTGTTTTGGACATTTAATTTATATTGATCAAATTGCTACTTCAATTAGGAGAACCCATTTAACTTTGACCAAGCTCAAATAGGGTAATAGGCAGGGGAGATCTACTATACGTACGTTAGGGCAATTTCAGCTCAAGGCAATTTAATTTTTATCCAATTTTTTAAATGCATATTTGTTCAATCTTCATTGTTACTCCACTCCATTAATATTCAAGCTTAATATAAATATAATAATTTTCAGTCCAGCCAACTCAAATTTCTGGATCCATCCATGGTAATAGGATGACTCCTTTAATATACATCTCATTGGAGTGTGGGCATGTGACTGTAGCCAATAAAAAAAATCAAGAGGATATGATGCAAATATTCATTTTGTTGAGAGTTTTGATTCATATATGGTTCATGAATCTCCACATTGTTTAACCGATTCTGCTATCTCGTTGGGGGAATATACCTTTCTTTCTATGTGTGTTTGGTCGTTTGAAGTTGCAGTTATGTGACACTACTATAGGAGGTGATAGCGCTATATAACTACTTGATCTAGATAAATACTATTGCTGTATAATGCTTATGCATATATATACTAATTCCATTAATTTTAGTTGCAATATTATATAATATTGTGATTCACATGTGGTACGTACTTTGATTTCATTTTATTCATTAATGTAATTCAACTCATTTTAAATTTTTAAAATCTCATTTGTTTTTATAAATTTTTACTAATAAGAAATAAAATATATTAATAATCAAACTTATGCGTTGAGAAACATAAAAATTGGAATATTGCAACTACAAAAGAACGAAGGAAATATTTCTTTACCCAACTTTCATTATTTGTCTGTCTTTTCATTTAATGAAAAAACGCCATCCACTTTTTTCTTAGAGTCCGTTTGGTAACACTGAAATTGGCTGAATCGATTGATTCTGCTGAAATTTATGAAGTTCTGACTGAAATGGTTGGATTGACTGATTATGGTGATTAGTAAAAAATTATATTTAAAACATATTTTATTAATAAATAAAGAAAAATTATATGAAAACATCTACAATAATCCTCTATAGTAATTTCAGCCAATACAGATAGAAAAGTAACTCTAACCTTAATTTTTCTTATCATTACACAATTCAGTGCGCAAAATAAAAAATTATGTGTTTGGTAAAAAATTGACTAATAAACCGAAAAACAAGATCACCAAACGGACTGTTAAAATAACAATTTTTTATTTTTACATCGTTGAATCTCTCTTTTACCGATAATTTAAGCATAGAACATTTTACATACTACGTACTTTTTGTGCAGGTTTGCTAAAGAAACGGAGACAGACAATATGATTGGCATTATATATGCTTGTAAGATCCATAAACTATGTTACGGAGTACGTTCTAAGGTTAATTATGTCATGTGCGTGACGATGAAAGACACAGTATACATGCAGTGTTCCTTCACATGCAATGCACTTTCGACCTTTTCTCTAGAAATACAATTCCAAATTTTAGACCACACAATATTTTTTTGGTCTCCTTCCTAAAGTGATCCATGCCGTATGACTTGTCGAATAAAGATCGGATAACCTGACCTATCACTTACAAAAAAGTGTTAAAAAACACGCAAGCTACACTGTCCAATTTTTTTGGCATTACATCACTTCAGGGTATTTAGTTTGTGGAATGTAAATTTACTTCAAGTAATATAATGTGGTTAATTTTGTGAAGGGAATAAAGTAATACTTCCTCCCCTAAGATTGTCCCATTTTACCACGGTCCGTCGCACGCACTAAAATTACCTCATACCAAATTTGGTAAAGTTTGTGTGGTTTCAAATCATTCTTACTTTATTATCACTTTATCAATTCAATATCAACTAAACAAAACACTTTTTATTGATTTGCGTGTCACTCCCTCTCATCCCATTCCTACAGCCTCTGCCACCTCCCAATAGTGTCACTAAGATTGTCCCATTTTACCACGGTCCGTCGCACGCACTAAGATTATCTCATACCAAATTTGGTAAAGTTTGTGTGGAGCCAAATCATTCTTACAATCTTACTTTATTCTCACTTTATCAAATCAATATCAACTAAGCAAAACACTTTTTATTGATTTGCGTGTTACTCCTTCTCGTCCCATTCCTACAACCTCTGCCACCTCCCAATAGTGTCACTAAGATTGTCATATTTTACCACGGTCCGTCGCACACATTAAGATTATCTCATACCAAATTTGGTAAAGTTTGTGTGGTTCCAAATCATTCTTACTTTATTCCTACTTTATCAATTCAATATCAACTAAGCAAAACACTTTTTATTGATCTGCCTATCACTCCCTCTCGTCCCATTATTGGTATGAGATTATTGGGACGAGATTATTGTCTCTCCCAATAATGGGACGAGATTAACTGGGCTGGACCAGCTAGGTTGGACCACTTCCTCTGTTCGTAATCTTTTATTTATACATCTAATTTTTATCAACTATGAGTTTCTTGTGACTTTATAAAACTTTTTATTAACTTGTTCTAAATATGGAATTTATATTTACTAAAAATAATCTTTATTATTGAGTTAACTTTTAAGTGTTATATAGCGACTTCGCTATATATAGCGACTTCGCTATAGAAATCAGTAAACCGCGTGAGAAGCTTTAAGCAGGACGAATGAAGTATCATAAAGCGACTTCGCAAAAGATGTCAAATTTTTGTCTATATATCATATTTAATTTATTAGTTATTGTTAAGAATTGAGGTTCAATCCTAAAAGGTAAACATAATAGAAGGAGTATTCCATGATCTTAATATATCACTTTATTAGTTCATATTTTACCGGTGTGAGACTTCAGCACTCCTCCTCATGACTAGACACTTTGTCTCAATCATGCCGTTATTCATTTTTGGGAAAAGTACGGATAACCTACCTGTGGTTAAGGTCATTTGCGGAGAGGGTCATGCGTTTCACTTTTTCCCAAACTAATATTCGTGGTTTCCTTCCGTTATCACCACAGGGGTTTCAGCTCATTGGCCGTTAATAAAGGCTGACGTGTACAATTGTTTCATCCAAATGCATGGCGTGTGGGGTGTTAGATGGCCAGGTCATTAAAATGAATTTAAAATAGGCATCAATTAAGTCATTTAATTTCGTTAGAGAGCAGGTCTACTAATAAGAGGATTTAGAGACGAACGGTTTGTTAAAGGGCTAAACGAGGCGTAACAATGAGTTCTTCGAAATTGAACTCCACTGCAAACACCTCGAGGAT